AGTCCGTTTGCCTCCCCCAAGCAGGCTGGGATTCCGTTGGGCAAAGACCTCATTTGGCATCAGAGCCTCCATATGTGGACTACAATAGGCCCTGAATCAATGATTCTGGACAAATAAGGAAGGGATGGAGAATACACAGGTAAGTGATTGAGTGGACAAGATGCCATGAAAGTGTCTGAGCTGACTACATGTCCCTGGGGAGGCAACATTGATGCTGAACTTCAAAATGGAATAGGAGACCACAATGATTTTATGTTACTCTCATCAAATAAAATACCATTTTAAAAAATCTCAACAGTCTCGGGTCCTATTCTGTCTCTGCCCCAAGTTTTTCACAGGAAAGACACCTTTTTCTTTACGTTCTCACAAACTGTCCTTGGTGGCTAGCCAAAGCTCTAGGAACAAATGCTTCCTTTCCTTCTGGGTGCCGCGAGCCCTCCCGGGCTTCCTTCTGATGGGAGGAATGGCTGTTGGAAATGATCACCAGCCCCTCCTAGACTGCATCTTAGGACTCCAGTCAAAGCTGTTTTGTATAAAATAGAAAATGTTTTCGTTAAATGTTATTTATTTTTAGACCCCTGCACAAGTGTTTTATAAACCAGTCTGAAGCAATTTAATATTTCTTCATTTTCTCAGGCTTTCAGAAGCACAACCAAGACAGGAGGAAAGCTGCTGACATAATTACTCGCTAATGACCTCTCCACTAATTACCCACTCTGTTATCTACTAATAACGGAGTGAATAACCTATCCACTCGGTTATTTCTTTCCTTTTTAAAATTTTTCTTTCTTTTTTCTTTTGCAGACAGGGTCTTTCTACGTAGCCCTGGCTGTGCTAGATCTCACTATGTAGACCTGCCTAGTCTCAAATTCACAGAGATCCTTCAGCCTCTGCCTCTCAAGTGCTGGGATTAAAGGTGTGCGCCACCACTGGCCAGCTTCACTCCGTTATTTCTGTGGTTCTGCCGAAAACAAGGGAACAAGGCCCCCCTGAAACCTCTTACAGAGGCAGCTCAATAATCCAAATATTAATAACCTCACTCAAATAGCTTAGACACTGTCTCGAATCCAACTGTATTTTCTTGATCTTTCAAGATATTTTAAGCCAGTTGATATTTTTTTCCTTGTAGTGCTGGAGGGCGAACATGATCTTAGTGTGCCAGGTAAAGTAAATGCCACCGTGGTAAACTCCTAGCCTTGAGTGGAATTCATCTCAAACTCTCCAAGTCTCTTTTCCCTTCTATGATCACTTATCAGTTGAATGAGAGCTTCACCTCCAGACAGCATCTAATGGTAGTGGCTGGGCGTCCAACAACTTTCCCCCTGTTTTACACAAAGCCCCTTTCTTATTAGGATGCCCATGTGCCAATGGCTGGCCTTCCACCCTAGGAACTGCACCCCCTCTCCCTTCCTTTGTGTGTTTTTAGATAAGGACTCAATGCTGAGATGAAAATGGCTGACATGGCCATCTTTCATACATTTAGAGAGATAAAGAATGATAGACATTCCACCTGGAGCCTTAACAGCCTTGCTGCTGTGCTAACAGACCTCAAGAATGTACCCCTCACTGTTAAGGCCACTTTTACTTTGTATTCTACACCACCTCTCCCGGATCCTGTAACCAACCCCTTTACTGGCTGTAAGTTACCCCCAAATAAACCTCCTTTTTAACTACGTGGAGTTGCCTTAATAAATCCCCCAATACAGATACTTTCAGTAGACTTTGGTATTCCAAAAACAGTCCTCAGGCACATTGCAAGGGCAATATTTTGAGCTGGAGTTTCTTCTTCCTCACTGTGGTGAGTGAGAAAAAGGTATATACAGCAGGACACCAAGACAAAAATGAACACCGAGAGAAGAGACAGAACCGTCATGAGGTTTGAGCTGGGAGCAAGTAAGCAAGAGGCTGCTCTTTTTCCCATGCATTCGAAACATCAAAATGTCCTTGTTTCTGAGAAAGGGTGTAGGGAAAGGAAATGCTGGGTAAGAGCATAAACATGGCCTGATGACCAACACTGAGAAGGATCTAGAAACAAGCAAACAGCAGTCCAGTGGAGATGAGGGTGGAAAAGAAACAGGGCAGAGCACAAAGAGGACCAGAAGAACCCAGAAAAAGAGAATTGTGCCATCTACAGCAGACTGTTGTCTTTTCTCAACTCCATAGATATCACAAATTTTCTGCTGCACTCTGCTTTCCCTATATTTGAGTGAAAGTGCCTCTCAACACATTGGTATACACCCCATTAGGTCTAGATCGTCTACTTTGATTCTTAAAAGAAAGGTTCCAGTCCTCTTTTATGATCTTTTCACCCACGTTCAGCATCTCTTTGGGGATGTGACGACCTCGGTGTTTAGTAAGCACATTTATTAGGCGGTTGTACGCTAGCTGCCGCCAGAGCTGGTTATACAGGCACAGATCAGAATGGGGATGCAACTCCATCTGTTCACTTAAGATTCTGGCAGCTCTGGCAGGCAGGTCCAAGCATGGGGCAAGCTGTCGAATGCCAGATATTTCTGTCCTGTAGCACTCTTAACAGGACCCAAGAGACAGCACAAGGCAGCTGTCCATTAGGAAGGGGCTCTTTGGCCTGAGGACTGGAGTGAGAAACCAGTTAGTATATTAATGTGATCTAACTCTCCCCATGCACACTATTAGGTATTTTGTTATTTGCTTGTATTTCAAGGGAAGCTCAAGGTTCCCCATAGGAAGTCTCTTCTAATTTTTTTTCCTAAGGACTATGTTATAAAAACTAAAAGAAGGCACAGTTATGAACGAAGGCATACACACACACCCTCCTACCACAAACCCTGGAGGAATATGACTGGCCCCACCCATCAGAGATTAGTGACCCTTCCCACAAGGCTCCACTTCCATTTTAGGACCTAATTCCTCGTACACAGCATCCAATTCTGATCGGGGGTAGTTGTTTGTTTGTTTGTTGTTTTGTTTCGCTTCTTTTGGTTATCCCTCAGCATCTAAAGAATGTACTGTTATTCCCTTGACAGCACATAAACTCCCCACGATGGCAGAGCCCCGGAGGAGATGTGTTTGGTGAAAATGAATTTCCATGGAAAATGTGACGCAAAGAAATGAATCATGTTTTACATCGGAAAGACTTCTCTTTAAAATCTACTTTGAGGAAATGGCTCTCCAAGGAGCGATGGGATGGTTCTGACAGCCTCCTAGAGCCACGTGACCTGTTCGGTTTTATTCAGAGACCTAAAGAGAAGTATGTGGAGCAGGAGGAAGAGAAGACCCATACCTGCTGAACTTCGAAGGTTAGCAGGAGTCATAACAGGTTCAGTTTTCATTCCTGGGGCTTCCTCATGGCCCAGTGTTAAACAATGAACTAATTTCTCTTGACACCTACTGTACAGGGTTGAAGTGAGGTAATGTATGAGTACCCAAGATAGCGAAAGGGATCATATTATCAAACCAAACTGATCAAATGGAGATCTGGACACTGTGCAACTAAGAAGCTATGGGTCACTTTATGCCCCTTGGGTCACTTTATGCCACAACAAGATGTTCTCTTGTCCAGATCATCACAGATCTTCGAGTCATGTGCATGGCCACAGCATCTTCACTGAAGAGAGCTATCACACAATGTCTATTTTATACTCAGACAGTCAGGTAACTTACTTGACCCTTTCTCCGGACATCTGTAGATTCCAAGTTTGTTGTAAATGAGCAGTCTGGACAGGCAAGGAACTTTTTCCTAAGAGAATCCTTATGTAAGGATCCAGCACTAACACTTGTGGCCGATGTGTTTGTTGACCTGGAGTCTACATGTTCCCATGAAGGTGTAAGGGAACTGCTGTCTTTCGTTCCTTTGCTAAGAAAAGAAAATGGATCATAGGCCAATTTTTAAATATTTCATTTCGTTGTTTGTTTGTTTGTTTGTTTGTTTTTGAGACAGGGTTTCTCTCTGTGGTTTTGGTGCCTATCCTGGATCTTGCTCTGTAGACCAGGCTGGCCTCGAACTCACAGAGATCCACCTGGCTCTGCCTCCCGAGTGCTGGGATTAAAGGCATGCGCCACCACTGCCTGGCCTAAATATCTCATTCTTAGCACTGAACCCAGACTCAGACATTGTATGTGTTTTACCACTTTCTTGGAAATAATGACGATAATAAGGGTCTGCTTACACATTCATTTCTGCTTCATTTTCCAGGTTTTACATTAACTGGCTGTCTAGGGTTATCATTGCTGTGACGGAACTCCATGACTGAACAACACAGGGAGGAAGGGGCTTACTTGGCTCACACTTCCAGTCATTGTTCATCACTGAAGGAAGTCAGGACAGGAACTCAAACACAGAAGGGACCGGGAGGCAGGAGCTGAGGCAGAGGCCTTGAAGGAGTGCTGTTTATTGGATTGCTCAGTCTGCATTCTTATAGAACCCAGGACCATCTGCCCAGGGATGGTACCACCCACAATGGGCTCCACCCTCACGCATCAATCACTAATTAAGAAAATGCCCTACTGGCTGGCCTACAGCCCAGTCTTACGAAGTCATTTTCTCAATTGAGTCTCCCTCCTCTCAGATAACTATAGCTTGTGTGAAGTTGACTTAGAACTAGTCAGCACACTGCCTGTCACCCAATACTACCTAGACCCACTTCCCAGTTGTGAGAAATTTTCATCTCTTCCTTTCTCCTCTTATTTTCCCATCTAAAAACTAATCAGGCCCATAACTGCTCAGCTTTGAATTGCATGAGATCTGGTGTGTTCAGGGCAGTCTATCCACAGATTTTCCTCATTTCATTCTCCTGTCTTCAACATCTTTCAAAGAGTTCAAGTCTCCTCCTCTTGGAAATCTCTAATCCTATGTATTCTGTTGATTTCACACCTCCAACCCTCTTCAAGCCACGATCCTACACTGAGGTTCTTCTGTTGGCCCATTTCTCACTTTTGCGTGTACAGCAGTCTTTTTCTTTAAATCAATAGTAAGCCTCACTACAACTGAGAAATCAGCTGGCCTCACTTGATCCACTTACCAGGAGAGGTAAGTGTCCTCCTGACACCGGCCCGTTAGTACTGCATTGGCCGTGATGACATCATATGCCGGGTTCAACTGCTGCCTTCTCTTGTGGACAGCGGGCTTCAGGAGGACAAGGCCACTTTCTCACTCATATTTAGTGCTTGGCACAGCACACAGCAAGGAGAAGACAACTGATAATACTTGTTGAAGAAATGGGTTTCCTAGAGGGAAACACATTCATTTATATAATGAACATATGGAGTGTCTACTCTGGTTACTCAGGATGCAGAGATGAGGAAATTGTTTCTGTCAGTTGGTCTCTGGGCTGCACAAGTTTGAGGCAATTCCTTTTGCACCACCATTTGGGCTGCCTCATATATTAAGGAGATAAAATCTAAACTAACATCATTAGTTAAGCCCAGTTAGTGGAGAATAGAAGAAAAACCAGAGACTGTGGGTACTCCTGGGAAGACTTCATCCCACATAATCCTTCAAGAAAGCAATCCCTCAAGTCTATCACTGGCCCCATTCATGGAAGCAACCCTTAACGCATCAGCCAGCATATACTTCTCTCGCCCTGCTCCTTGTGAGTAACCCTACATTTGAGTATGAAGAAACTAGACACAGCTCTGGGACCTGCTTTCAGGACGGTGCACTTGGAATACATCCCAACATGTTTTAAACAGACTTTTGGCAAACAATATGACAAATGCAGAGATACATTCTAATTAACTATAGTGTTCAAAGCAGATAATAATATACATTTTATTTAATATAATGATCTTAATATCACCGCCTAAGTATGCAACATTGTCCTTGTTTCTCCTAAGTCAGTGGGCTTCTTGGGGGTCTGATACAAGCTGAGTCCATTCCGAAGTATTCTACTCAGAAACAGGGAGATGGAGAATTTGGTGTTCATTTCCTACATGTTATGGACACTGAAGGGAAACGCTGTTAGGCCAATCTCCCAGCCCTTTGGAGGTGGGTGTGTTATTATGGAATGGGTTTGTGTCTAGATTCATCAATAGTATATTCTCAAGCAATGAGACTTGTTTCCTTTCCCTCATCTGTCCTTTCTTTTTTCAAATTAGTGTGTGAGGAAGCTCATCTGTGCCAACACTAGCCGCTGCCTTCAGTCATTCACCAACCATCACACGTTCATCGTACACCCATCAGCCGTATGTCACAAAGATTGCTTTTCTCAGAGTAACCCATTGTCTGCTTCTTTTCCCTCAACTTTTCTCCTACTAATGTCCCCTTCCTCCCTCCATCCCTCCCTCCCTCCCTCCCTCCTTCCTCAGAGGTCACGTCCATGGCCACTGTTATCTTCTTCAAAGCCTTTCTCTACGCCTGTCTTGGCTGGCAGCCATATGCTAGTGTATCTCGGCCCTCCCCTTGCAGTGGAGCCTTCTGAAGGTAAGATCTCTGTCTCACTTGCCAGGACCTTTACCAGGGCTGCTTGTGGTAGGTGTTGAAAGAAACGTGTTTGAATTTATTGAAAACACTGATGTATCGTGAGCAAACACTTGGAGTTAGGAGGTATAAAAAGAAGTGAGTTGAATTATTCTGATCTGAGACTTCCATCAAATGGAGTCACAAATGGCAAGGCATCCTTTAGACTCCGCATGCATCCTGTGGAGTCAGGCTCACGGGGACATGACAGGAAAGAGGGCTGGAAACTTCAGCTGGGCCTTCTGGGCCCTCGGGGACCACTGGACAGCACTGGGGACCACTGGACAGCACTGGGGACCACTGGACAGATGAAGGAAAGGAAACAACGGGTTAAAAACTGACAAAAATCCTTCAACTGGTTTTAATTAAGCCAAGTAACCCCATCCCACATGTCAGAAGTCCACACATAGTTTCCCCTTTTCTCTTTTATTGCTCCCACCAATGATCCCAGAGGGTTCTATTTTCCCAGTCTGATTTCTGTAACATCTCCTTGCATTCAGTTAAGTGTCAACAAAGACAAAAATAATCAGATTGCTTAAGAGGCCTCTTCTGCCCTCTGCTCTTGTCTGTCACCCCAGAAGTCCATGTGGAGAGCCCAGTTAGAGGCAGTCTGAGGAATAAGAACCTCAGAGTTTCTGTGAAAAAACAAAATCTTGACTGTCCTGTGTCCCTGATATGCCTGTGCACATGTAACTGTTCTTCTAAAAATAATGGAACAACCATATGTCAAGGCTGACTTGGACCTGCAGTAAAATCGGCCTGGTACCGTCCACTTAGCCCTGAATATCCCAATGTCACATAGCCTGTCCTGCTTCCTAATTGCTTCATCTCAACTGCAGAGAAGAAGGAACAAATCTAAAGTTTATTTTTTTATTAGTTCCCCTCTGGACACAGGTCTAACCTCGGGCACCTGAGCCTCTAAGACAGTCCCTTAGTTCAACCTTGTCGGCAAACATTTGCCTAATGGCTAAGTGGTTGGCATAAGCGTTTTCAGTTTCTCAGAGGAAAGACCCAGTCATATTATTTGACACAAATCATTATGACATATATAAAATTGGGATTGGAAAATTTTATGGTGGATGTCATTAGCTTTCTTTCTAATGCCCTCGATGTCTCATGAGAAACTTGAGGTAGATCTACATACATCTGCTTGGAAGTGGAGTTCCAGAACCCTCTGTCCTAGGAAGGCTAGTGTTTTATTAATAGCAAGAGTGGTGAGAGATACATTTAGTGAACCTCTGCTTTGCAGCAAGAACTCTACCTCATCCCTTTCCATGCATTAGCTTCGTATTTAGTCTGCCCGAGCGATAACAAAACACCACAGACTAGAACAGTTAAATGACAGAAATTTGCTTTCTCCCACTTCTGGGTACTGGAAACCCGGATCAAGGTGTAAGAAAATCCTCTGTGAGGTCTGTGTCCTCATTTGGTTTTTCCTCTGTGGTGGAAAGCGTGGAGGAGAGAAAAATCTTCCTTGTCTGGGGATGAAAGTCCCACCCTCAAGATCTCGTGTAAACTTGATTGTCTCCACATGGGTACCATCTCTAGTCACATTAGAAGTCAACGCTTCAGCACAGGAGTTTTGAGGGGACACAGTTCAGTCCATCACAACCTCACTGTGTCACTAGTCTAGCTTTGGAAGTCATAGACACACTCTACTTCTTATCCATGAATACAGACTTTGGTATTTGCCCAAAGTCTCTTCACCAGTAAGTTGGTTCACATTGATGTGAACTTTTAGAAGTTATCTACATGTAGAACACATATATATATACATATATATACATATGGTTGCTCACATGAAAGTTAGAAAGAGAGCTGGCAGGCAGAAACCAGAGCAGGGCACCAAACCCACAGCTGTTCTGCTCAGTTAATGGGTCACATGTCCTTGTGCTGAGCTCTAGGCGCTCATCATCTTGATCACTTCCTAGTAAGTCTCTCTTCCCAGGTCCTGACTGGATACAATTACCAAACACAAGTTTTCTCCTTGGTCCTCTTCCTCCCCCGAGATATTCCTGAGTCTTCATATGATGCTTTTTCTCCTCAGAGGCCACCTGCAACCTGGAATTCGGTACCTCAGCTTGTCCAGGTCTTCAATGTTCTTAACTCATCTCTTATAATCCTCTCACTTGCTGTGACCTTCGTTAAGACAACTTTGGTCCAAACTTCATCATTCCCTTGAGCGTATCTTTGACTAGGACAGTCAAGGTGTACTGATCGCTTCTTCTGGATAATGTGCTAACATTTCACTGGTGGCCTCTGGGAACTGGTGACTTATGGCATATAGTTTAGAAGTATAGGGTTTTACACACACACACACACACACACACATATGTGTGTGTATTTGTATGTGCATGTGTATATGTATATGTATGGTAGAACTCTTCTGGTAGCAGGAGTATTTGTCAGTGTCATGACAGAAAGCAACCATTCCAGGTATCTCACAGATAAGGCTGTTCCCTCTACAACACCAAACTCCGCAAAAATACAGACCTCCATGATCATTCATGTCCCTTGGGCGTTCCATTTCAGAATGGAAGGGGTCAAGCTGCTTCTGGTCACCTGCCAATGGCATGCTCAGGAGTAGCCTTCAATCACAGACTCTAGAGAGACTGGGTGTATAAATACTTTGGCTCCCCCAACCCCTGGGTGGGATTATTCTGAGCCACATATTTTAAACTATGATTCAAGTTTCCCTATGAGTTCCAGTCACTCAGTCCAATGGCTGGTGTTAGGACGTGCTGGCTATTGACTGTCTCTTCTTACTGTGTCTCTCTGTCACTGTCACACAGTGTCTCCTTGCTTCACAACTGAACTACTTATACTGACATCTTTTCTGAGGGTCCACCTCTAGAGAGAGTCCAAACAAGCAGAGAAGTGAGCAGAGGGTGACAGGAGAGTACAGCAGGCCCCACTATGTCACTAGGCCATGTGACACCTGGCACTCAAATGACTGTTTGCCTTGGGCTGTAGCACATAGGAATTGTATGGCTAGTAAAGTTCTCCGGACTTGACTTTACTCATGTGTAAAATAGGACAGCATTGGCTGCAGCAAAACATCACTCCAGGCATGATGACTGTCTTAATTAGGGTTTCTATTGTTGTGAAGAGCCACCATAACCATAGCAACTCTTATTAAGGAAAACATTTAATTGGGTGGCTTACATTTTCAGAGGTTCAGTTCACTATCATCATGGTGTGACATGGTGGTGTGCAGGCAGACATGGTGCTGGAGAGCTAGCCAAGTGTCCTACATCTTGGCTTGCAGGCAACAGGAAGTGGTCTGTCTCACTGGACATGGCTTGAGCATATAGGAGACCTCAAAGCCCGCCCCGACAGTGACACACTTCCTCCAACAAGACCACACCTCCTAATAGTGCCACTCCCTTTGGGGGCCATTTTCCTTCAAACCACCACAATGATAATTGTCAGCCAGATTCAAAGAGGCTTACATGAAGTCAGTGCAGTTCAGGAACACTATGCAGGTATACCTAGGGCATCTTACTCAAATCTCCCAAATCCAGACAAGCGTTGGAATTCAGAATCCATATTTAATAAAAGTAAATGAAGCATAGAGCATGTATTTTGGAATGCCCATCAGGATCTTGAGCAGTGGCCTAGACTTAAACAATCACCTAGGCTTCTATTTGGTATAATATTTCAGGATCAAAAACTAGAAAAACAATATATTAAGAAGGTGAAGCCAGCCGGGCGGTGGTGGCGCACGCCTTTAATCCCAGCACTCGGGAGGCAGAGCCAGGCGGATCTC